GTAATTAGTCTTAGCGATTTCTCTATTTTCCAATTCTTATCTGTATAGCGATGGATTTTCTGATTTTGATGCTATTTAGTTTTCTTAGTAATTGGGCTCAGGTTTTTGTCAACATCTTTTGAATCTCTATTTTTAGTCTGTTTTGGGGGGTATGGAAATCTTGAGGCTCAACATTAGCATTGTAGGGCTTGGGCTCACAAGTATTGATCGGGGTTATTTCCTAAGGATTGGAGCTCCTCCCTAAGAGGGCTACACAAGGTGGGAGGTGTTGTCCTTGAGAGGGTAGGGGCGGTATTGTGGGATTGTCCTTTTCTGGGCCGTGCTGATTTTCGGGTCGGATCAGTATGGTGGTTGGGGAGAGTGGACAAGGGGTGCTGAAGTTAGCAAGATGAGAGGTAGAGAGGGTTGTTTCACTGGGAGGGGGGGGGACAGGAGGAAAGGAGGAGCTCCAGCTCTGCGGGGGCATACTCTAGGGGGAATTGTATGCTGCTGAGGGAGCGGGAATTACCGTTTAGGGGGTTGTTCTGAACTGGGGCCGGTGTGGTGAAGGGGGACCCTCCGGCGGAGGCAGTGTAAGGACAAAGGGATGTTTCTGAGGGAGGAGTAATCTCGGGAATTTTTGTGAGTTCTTCATGAACAGTTGAGCTTCGAATGGACACCGGTACCGCCACAGGATGAGGGGTGATCTTTCCCTCCCTCCCTCTCGTTTCGTAGGGGTAGAAGGGTTTTTTTTTGCCTTTGTCAGAGTCCAATTTTTCTGAAGGAGGGCAGGGGGGGGGGTTAGAACCAGAGGATGGGATCTAGTTAGGAGGCTCTCAATAGCGGAATGTCTGTTAGGCAAGAAGGTTAGAAAAACGAAGTTGGGACGATGCAGGCCGGTGCTGGAGCTTTTGCTCTGTGACCTAAGGGGGGCTTGAGGCTTGTGGAGTCATGCTGAGGGTGGAAGGCATAACCAGTTCGTTCGACGTAGCGGGCGCCGGGGTATTAACCCTGTAACCTGTGTCAGGGGTTTGTCGTTAAGGGAAGTGTCGAGTGAGGAAGGCACCTCCTATCCGTCAGAACTAGGTTGGTCAGTACTTGGGAAGGTTGCGGTGCCCTGTTACCCTAGCATGAAGGGGGTATGAGATCAAGTGAGTTCTGGTACGTGGACTGAAAGCCTGGACAAACTTTCCGTCTGTTGAAGGGGGAATTTTGGATGGTAGGTTGTTTCAGTTTTGACCCCCCGCTCATATAGTTTTCCAAGCCGTTCCATATATTTTCAAAAACAAAAAGACCTCGTAACTTTGGATTGAGTAACCTAGCAATAGGTCGGTAAGTCAACAGTTATTCATGGTTTCGTAAAAGGCTTTTGAACTTCTTTTTTAATTATCATATTGTTCTTAGCCGAAATTCTCAGATTGTCTTAAAATTCTTCTGAACTCTTTTTGTAGTTCTCGGATTGTTCTTAGTCAAAATTCTCAGATTGTTCTAAGCCGAAGCCAGGTAACGGCCCTGGTATTCCAAATCCTTTGTATCATTTTATATGGGATGCTGGGCCCGGTTCCCAGCACGTGTTGCTCCCCACGAATAGACTGGAGCATTGGTCCTAAAAAAATAATAAAAAAAAAAGGGATAGGGGAGGGAGAAGTTAAGTGGGGTTGGAGAAGTGACGAAGTCGGAATGGGGGCCACGAGGTCGGGATAGGGGAGGGGGGAAGTTGGGATCGAAGTCGACGAGGTCGGGATAGGGGAGGGGGGAAGTCGGGATCGAAGTCGGGTCGCACACACTTACTTGCGCGGGGTTTGAAATCGTTTTTTTTTTTTATTATTTTTTTTTTATTGATTGATTGCTGGGAGGGGGGGTCGCCCCCCCCCCACACACACCACCACCACCAATCACACACACAACAATCGCACACACACACACACCCACCAATCACACACACACACACACACACACACACACACACACACACACACACACACACACACACACACACACACACGATGTGTACGGGAAAAAAAGAGAGAGAGAGAGAGAGAGAGAGAGAGAGAGAGAGAGAGAGAGAGAGAGAGAGAGAGAAGATTGCCCGAATCAGCTGGACAAGAGTGAGTGGGGGATCGAGTGGAAACAATCTCAAATACATTCAAACGATTGTGTCACTGCATGAAAACATTCTACAAAGTATGAAACCAGTGCAAAGCAGCCAGTGGAAAGGGGGGAATTTTTTCTGAAAAAGAAAATGGCCACGCTTGTAACCGTTGATAAACATATGATGAGTCCAAATCCAGAGGGCACACATGGACTGCACACACACACACACACACACACACACACACACACACACACACACACAAAATAATAAAGAGTGAATATAAGCAGACAAGTTGAGAAAACCCGCACTCCAATAGCACTCATCCCCATAAACAGGTCAAGCCTAAAGGTACAAATAACATTAAAAATTAAAAAAAACAGTTTAAATTCCTTCTTGGTGGAGGTTAATCCAGGACTGGTGGTGTGTGTGTGTGTGTGTGAACGCAGGCATGCACATACACACAAATTAATACACACACACAAATGAGTTGGCAAAACCTTGACGACATAGTTTGGCACAGTCATACGTTTCTGGGGAGTTGTGCATAGCAAGAATGACAATACAGACACCCAAAAAAAAAAAAAAAAAAAAAAAAAAAGATTGCACACATACCAAGTCTTCCAGAGCTCCTATCCTCTCTAATAACGTCCCTTGCAATTCCGTCCTCCTCCCTCTTTTATCACCTTCCGACAAAAGCTTTGGTAGCGGATGCAGCATCTCTTTGGCAAAGCTTGTAAACCGCTTTAGAAAACCTTCTTCGTCGACGTCAGCAGCTTCTTCCGTTTCTGCAGCTTCTTCCTTTTCCACCTCCAGCACTTCACCGTATGATGGCACCTCCGAGTCAGTGGCTGCTGATGCGATTTGCTCACTTTTTCTGTGATAGGCCTCTTCCTCCTGTCTACATTCGTCAGCAATCTCCTTCACAACCACCTTAACGTCGTCATCTTCAAACGTGGGAGAATCGAAGGGAGATAATGCAGGTCCTGGACTGCTATAAGGAGCCTCTACCACATACGAGGCAATATAGGTATCACCTCCACCTCCACCACCACCATCACCGCCTCCCTCACTACTCGTACGATCAGCAGGACCTGGATGCTCTTTCACAACCTCCTTCACGACCTCTTGAATCATGGGAGTATGGGGGCTGAGAAACAGTTGTTCGGTTGGTGAGTAGGTTCCTTCCTTATGCTCCTTTTCGTTGACGTCCTCAATGATATCATGAATTTTACCAAGACCCTGTTTGTGACTCTTGTACTCGTCGTAAGGATGATGGCGCTGATGATCGCGACCTGATTGAACTGAGACTTTAAGGGATGGTTTTCGGGACATGGCAGCCTCTGCAGCAGTGCCAGTCCTGCCGGACTCACTTGGACTGCTAACGAGACCAGGTGCACCTGAAGAACTATAATTGCCATATCCAGCATCCTCCTTCACCTGGTCCTCCCTTGATCCCATGAGAGTCTCCCCCGGCCGCTGCTCATGGCCAATCACCTCCACGCTCTCCATCTCCGTACCAGTAATAGCTTCTTTTTTTCTTTTCTTTTCGTTTCGTTACTTTTTTTTTTGCTTTTTGTAGCCTACCAGTTATATCACCCTCAGTCGATTCCGATTATGATGTTGTATGACGGCTTTATGAACCTTAACAAGGAACGTGTCTAACGTCCTCGCTCCTTGAGATGGTTTCGAAAGTACTGCAGCAGTTACCACAGTAACTATGGAGAAGCAATGATAGGCAGCTGCAGCCCAAGTACCATGTCGTACTCTGTAGTACTATCGTGTACTACTGCGACGTAGTACTATGTCGTACTACTCTGTTATACTCTTATAATATAGAATGTAGCAGTTGCAGCCTCAGAATTTTCTCCCTCCTCACAATGGTCTCGAAAGTACTGCAAAGTACTAGCCAGTACTATGCATCTGGATATTCTAGAATAGTAGAATGTAGTGGTTGCAAACTTTCTGAGTACTAGCCAGTACTAGATAGTAGAATGTAGTGGTTGCAAACTTTCTGAGTACTAGCCAGTACTATGTATCTGGATATACTAGAATAGTAGAATGTAGTGGTTCCAAACTTGCAGCCTCGGAACTTCCTCCCTCCTCACGATGGTTTCCACAGTACTGCAGAGTTAATTGGGGTCGTACTGAACTATGTGGTATTACTATGTTGTAGTACTCTGTACTAGTACTGTAGTAGTAGTACTATGAACTACTACCATGGACTAGCACTATAGCAGTAGTACTATGGACTAGTACAGTAACTATGTTGTAGTACAGTAACTATGAAATTACAGTGTTATGTAGTAGCAGCACGGTGACCTTGTCCTGCACTCTCGGCACATAGTCTTCCCCCGTCGCTTCTCCGGATGGATTGCCAGGATTGTCCAAGGTATTGCTTTCGATGATCATGGACGTCAACAGATAATGTATAAAAACCGCCTTGCAATTGGGTACTATTTATAGGGATTGGGAGTTTGCACAATCACACAGGTAATATACAAACGGCTTTCCAATGCGGTAGCGCAGGGGCTGGGATTTAACAAAATCAGATCACACCCGCTTGAAGAAGGAGAAAAAAACCGACTGCGTCCTCTATTAATCAACAGGAGTTGATTGCAGTCGAGGTGAAGGTCGCATATTAAGCCTTGGGGAATCCTCCCTGCGAAGAGCAAATCAATCATACGAAAAAGAAGAAAAAAAATCAACCATACAACCACTCGGTTAATGAGATTCGATCAACACCCATCGCTACAAACTGCAATCAATCATTATGATTCATTATACAACCGGCATCGAGCTTCGCAGTCAAAATCCTTCGGGACAGATGAAACGACATGATCTCCAAGCGCTACAGCTGACAGCCTTTACGGCAATTGAAAACCTTTCATCAAAATCCTTTCTTTTCTCCTCCCCCCCCCAAAAAAAAATGGTCCCACGGGCAAGTACGTTGATGCCACTTTTTTTTTCAGCGCGGAATTGGCAAACAAAGCATGCACCGGCAAAGAAAACAGGCGCCGTCCCAAAAAAAAAGGAAAGAAAAAACGAAAAACAGGCACCGAGTTTGGAAAAGCAATGAAAGTAAGGGCGAGATCCCACTGGCAAAGAGAAGAGGATTGTAGTAAGTGTCTGAATGTGGACGTGTTTGTGGACAGGTGCAAAAAATTGTGATTGATCTACTTTTCTGCATCTCTGTGTGGAACACGTCCAGATTCAGACTCTTATTCCAATCCTCTTTGCCAGTGGGATCTGGCTCTAAGTACCGACGGCAGGGTGTCACGCCGGGTGTCATCGCTACAGGGGTCGCCCCTGGTGTCAGACTGAGAAAGAAAGGTGAAAAAAAAAAAAAAAAAAAAAAAAGGCCAATGGAATTCAATGGATTCTTTTCTACACATATTGCCGTTTCAAACTCATGCCGTGATATCTTTGCAAGCGGGCGCGTGTTTTTTTGCGCCTTTTTGTTGCCAACTCAAAACCTGCCGTGTCGTCCTTCGGGACATCTGTTAAAATTGCGCATTAAGAAAAGAAAAAAAAAAAAAAAACGCCGCGTCTGCCGTTGTGTTTTTTTTTTTTTTTTTTTAACAAATTCCTCCGATTGATTGATGTGAAGAGGCTCTTGCTGGAATACGGGGGCCGAGTCCCACTAGCAGCGTTGAGTTCCGCAAATCCTGAATCTGGACGTGTTTGTGGGTTTCATCAACGCAATTTCTGCACATCTCCACGAACGCATCCAGATTCAGGCGTTGAGAAAACTCACAACGCTGCGAGTGGGACTTGGCCCCGGGTCTAGCGTCCACCGATAGAATCAATTAACAGATTCAATTCATTTCAATACATACAAAAAATGAAGAAGGTCCTTCGCGACATCCGTTAAAATTGGAACGATACAGAGAAGATTAGCATGGCCCCTGCGCAAGGATGACATGCATAAATCGAGAAATGGTCCAAATTTTTTATGAAAAATAAAAATAAAAAAAAATAAAAAATGAAGAAGAATGAGCGCGAGTGGAAGTAATCGGCCTTTAAGTCTGCCTGTCATTCTTCAGACCTTTCAGCAAGAATCCTTTCGTTTTACCAACGGGCGCTACTACCCTCTTGCCCCGAATACAACGTACGGTCATTATAGCTGTATTTGAGGCATCTTTCAATCTAGATACAGCTATAATGGCCGTACGTTGTATTCGGGGGAAGAAGGTAGCTCAGTTGGTACAACCCGGGCCGCATGAACTGTTGAAAATACAGACTCAAATTCGAATCCAGGTATACTC